CAGAGTGCTTCTAGGGAAATGTTTTCAGTTCTCCTCAAATTGGAAGGAAAAAAATGACCTTTTAGGGTCAAATACCAATGCAGTTGTAAAACAGATTGTAAAATGTTGCATAGTCATAAAATAGTTATGAAATATAGTGTATATATTTAAAATTTTTCCTGTATATTTTGTTTTAGCCAGGTGTGGTGGCTCACACCTGTAATCCCAGCACTTTGAGAGGCCAAGGTGGGCAGATCGCTTGAGGTCACGAGTTCAAGACCAGCCTGGCCAACATGGTGAAAGCCCATCTCTACTAAAAATACAAAAAATTAGCTGGGCATGGTGGTGCATGCCTGTAATCTCAACTACTGGGGAGGCTGAGGTAGGAGAATCACTTGAACTCAGAAGGCAGAATTTGTAGGGAGCCAAGATAGCACCATTGCACTCCAGACCAGGTGACAGAACAAGACTCTGTCAAAAAAAAGAAAGAAAAGAAAAGAAAAGACACAAAGCTTTTGGCTGGGGACAGACAGAGCCTGCCCTTCCTGGTGCTGGCCAGTTCTTAAGAGACAGCGAAGACTGAGCTGGGCATGACTTCAATATGCACTAACCACCCAGAGCCGGGCCTCCTCTCTCAGGCTCGCACACCCCAGGAGCACCACTCCACTGCCTTCATCATCCCCGAGTTGGAGACCAGGCACCTAGGGACACACCCTCTCCTTATAGATTAGAGCCCACTGAAACTACTCAAACTGGTCAGTCTCAACTATTCACCCTGCCCTGCCTTTCCCTTAGAAACCCAAAGAAAGGCTCTGGCTTCATGCTTCCCCCCATGCCCCCTGACTCCTGTCATCCTCCTGACCACCCTGGCACCTCGCCTACATGGCCCTGTATGGCCTGCCCTGCCTCCTGTCTCCAGGAATAGTGAGTACACTTTCGTCTTCCCGAGCCTCTCCTCGGCCTCTTTTGGCAGCATCTCATTGACCACCTCATAATAGAGTACAAAACAGGATGGAAGTAAGTTTCATGCAATTTTGTGACGATTAAATGAATTAATATATGCAAAGTTCTTACAATAGCATTTGGTACTAGGCATGCCCTTAAATGTGAACTGTGAGCCCCAGTGATGGGGGTACAGCTCTTTATATTCCTCAGTGTCAACACTCTGCTTTTGAGGACCACATAGGGTTTCAATGGTCATTGCCAGGGGCTTGGACCAGGCTGGCTACAGAGAGAAAAACACTTGGAATGCTTCTGGCCATGTCTTAGCGCCATCTAATTAGATAATCAGGTAACAAAAATGCAACTTATACATCTTAGAAAACTGGGCACTTTTCTTATTTTATTTTCAGAAAGACACACTGATAAAAAATTACTGTCAACATTTTTTTAAGGATAGTGATGTGGGTACACAGGGTGGCACATGGAACACAGAGGAAGTGTCAGTGCCACCCAGTGCTGGCACCTGCAGAGGATGACTGTCAGCACCACCAAGAGGTCCTTGAGTGATCAGAATCAACAAAGCCTTGCATTCTTTTCCCTTCACAAACTGTTATAAAAATATTTAAATTGCCAAAGATATATTTAGCAGGAGTTGAGGTGGGCCAAGAAGTGGGGAGCCCTCCAGCTGCAAGACAGAAGAGGGTGAGAGACTGGTGTCTCCATGGTGTACTGCCAACTGAGCCAGGGCTATAGGGGGAGGGTGGGGCAAAGTGCAAAGGAACAGGAAGAAAAGGAGAGGAATCAGACAGGGGGAGGCTATGGTGTTCTTGGATTAATTCTGAATTACATTGTTTTCTCCACCAAAAGCATTCAGTTTAAAGCAACTTTGTTCCAAGACTCTGAGGTTCGGGCACAGTAACCTGGAAGCCTCAGTCTGCTGCAGGGACGAAGTGCTGTTCTGGAAGCAGTCAATGAATATGGAGGAAGGTAACATTTTAGAGAGGCCACTGTCAAAGCTGGACAAACAGGTAGGCAGGGAGAAAGAACCCAGATGACAAATCAGTCAGCTGGACATGAGGGGCACCCGGCAGAAGATGGGCAGAGGAATCTGAAAGAGGAAATACGAACCAATTTTTTTTTTCTTTAAAGAGGAGGCAGTTTCAGTGGCTGTTCCCAGAAGCTCATAGAAATGAAGAACCTATCAAAGTCTAGATGCTAATTCCCTTCTCAAACCCTCCCCCTGGGCTGAGTGGAACTGGCACTGGGATAGATCTTAGAAGGCTCTGAGATGGGAGGAGAGGCCAGGAGCAGCTTCTCTGGCTCTTACCTTTTTCCATGGCCCAGGTGAGGGGTGGGGAGACTGGCTTCACGGGAAGTTCGTGGTCGTGGTGTGCCAGAACAGTCTTGTGCACTACATGAAGCAGGCGCAGGCTGGACGTGTAAAGATGGAGCTGCTAAAGGCGGCACATTACCAGGTACCAAGTCTGTCCCTGAAGAGTCCCAAATCATGGTCTTTCATCTTGTCACAGTTGGTTATGCCTACATGGTCATTAGGACTAGAAAAGCAAGGTACAGAATGAACTACTCTTTCTAGGAAACACTGGGTGTTTGGGGATTAACCCAGCTGAAGTTGGGGTACAGAAAACTCCCTCTCAGTAACTGCTGAAATGTCAAACACTGCACAGATCAGCTGGCAGAAAAGATTGTGGCTGAAGAAGTCTTACTGCAGAGTCCTCAGAAATTTACTTTTAGGGGTTGGGCTGGGGCAGGTTAAAATGCCCAGGTAGAGAGCCATATAATCCATGTGAGAAAAAGACTAAGACCCAGGCAATGCTCACTCTCCTAATTGAGAAGGCCATGTAGCAAGCTCACACTCCTATGGTAAAATACAATAAAGCCACTGCCTGGCCAAATACTAGTACCACAAATATATTCAAGTCAGCCTAGGCATATCTAATAGGACAGTGACTTACTTTTTGCCTTCCCAGACAGGGAATAAGTGAACAGGCACCTCGGAGGACTAAATCCATGAAAACCCAAGCCTGACAGAAGATGAACTCAGGGAGAGTGCACTGTCATCTCAGACGGAGGGGCTTCAGGCTGCACTTATGCCCTGGAGGCATAGTTCCTGGAGCTGTGGCTGAGATGAATGAGACTCTTGAGCTGGGTGCAGGCCTTCGCCCTGGCTCAGCTGTAGGCACATACCAAGTAGTGGTAGTTCTCATGCATTGATTACAAATAAAACCACCAACCAACTCAGCTTAGAAACGTGCTTCTCAGGGATTCAAGGTAAGGGGTTGGTAGTTAAGACCTGGCACATCACTTGGATAGAGATGAAGGCAGACATCTGTAGCAGTGAACATGATTTTTTCAGATTTGCTCTGGAATCTCAGGGTATCAGCCATGTGAAGCTGCAGATGAACTTCTGTGGACATGGGACACAGACAATCCCAAGAAACCTCTTGAACAGTGCTTCACATGCAGCTTAATATGGGAGAAAGTCGGAGTTGCTGATCACCTAACAGGAGATGCTGGCCCACAAAGGGGGCCTTTATTAGATGAAGACTGAATTTCGATTACTTGGACTTTGAAGCTGCTGGAAGCTTCCAAGTCTATGTTGTAACCCAGAGCCCACTGAGTTCTACCATGATATAAAATATCCTCTTCTGTAACGTGGGGTGAGGTGCTGCATTCTGAGGGGTCAGCATTGCTCAACTTGACAGACAGCACTTCCGCAAACCAGGAACTTGCTTCACTTTCCAGAGTAATTTGCTTGGCCTCCCATCTTCATTGCATGGTATGTTCCACCTTGCGGTAGTGCAGGCTCCTCCATTCCTTGTGGTAGGGAAAGGGAGAGGGCCCCAGCGGCTGTGTGTGTGAAGGAGCACAGATGTTATTTTATCTGTGTGATTTCTACTGAAAGCAATGAAGAATTAAAGATGGTGAAGGAACCCTACCTCCTAGACTACTGTACCAGACTTTTGAACATGGACATGGCCCTTGCCAGGAAATGTCAATGGTGCTACTGACCACTTCTTGACTCATGGAATTACTCAACATTTTTCTCACCACTGTCAGCATGAGTCCTTAAATAGTGAAAGGCCTAGATGGAGAGGAAATGACCACTTCCAAATGCAAAAGCAGAAATTCAAAGCTGTCTGCTTTCCTATGAATATAGAATTAATACCTCCAGAAACCTAGAAAAAAACAGGGGAAGGACTAGGATGCAGCAGTTTATGCTGAGAGTAGTAAACGTACTCTAATGCAGTAGACACAGTGGACTGTCCAGCGAGGGAGAAGAGAGCGGGTCAGAGCATTCTGAGAACTGGCCTTGGGGCTTTCACCTCTTCTATCAGTTGCACACAGGGAAATGGGAAATGACAAATGGAGGTGGTTGGGAATACTACAATTTAAGTGAGTGGAATCATTGCACCAGAAGCTGAGCAAGTCCCTGACTGACGTGTAGAGTCACTAAGTATACTACAGAACAACTGGAGGGTAAACGTGGCACAGGCAAGGCCCCTACTTCAGGTACCATCCCAGGGTCAGTCAAGCTGAAGCCCAGTGGAAATGCGTAACTCAAGAATTTTGATCAAGTTTTGCCTTCCAGGCAGAGATTCTAAGTTCTGAAAGCTGTATTTGGGTGTGATATTCAGAATCATGGACTGTGTCTGAGACCAGATCACCACACTCCCCATATGGGGACACCATGCAGACAGTTAGGAGTTGCTAAGTTAGAAGAGGGTCATTTGGGGAAAATAATCTCAAAGGGATTCTACCAGGATGAAGCCAGTGGACAAGCAGACCAGAGGTATCTGACAATGGATGGTTTGAAGCAGAAGGTAGGAAGCATAATGTAAATAATTATGGGTGACGCATGGTGACTGCATTTTCTTTATACTGGGTGTCAGTGGTCTGGGTGAAGAGAGGACTAAGGTTTCCATTAGAGGTGGCAACTCAACTCTCTTATGTAAGAGAATCTAGTAGAGTGAAATGCTTGTAGGTCATTTTGACTTTTTGTTCTTTTGCTTCTCAACTTTAATTTTTATAATTTCATAGTTTCTCTAATAGTCAAGATGTAATTTGATAAACCAATTTTAATGCTGTTAATTGTTAGTGAAGCTCCATTTTGGTTCTGATAGTTGGCAATTCAGACTAATGAAACAGTACTGCTACTTGAGGCAGTATTAAAGAATGAGTAGTGTCTGCCATTCTTAAATGCCCAAACCCCATGACACTGTGAAACTTGACCCTCAGTCAATAAAGTGACTATCTTGATGCAAGCTTTCATAGTTACTCTCTAGAATGGATTATGTTACATTCAATAATTAATTTACTCAGTCTCAAAGGTCTTCCATACAAACTACATTCATATCACTTTTCTCCAATATGATGTCTCTGATGCTGAATGAGGTTTGCAGTCTGGTTAAAAGCTTTCCCACATTTATTACATTTATAGGGTTTCTCTCCTGTGTGAATCCTCTGATGCTGAGTAAGGTGGGTGCTTCGGATAAAGGCTTTCCCACAGATTTTACATTTGTAAGGTTTTTCTCTAGTATGAATTCTCTTATGTTGGGTAAGGGCTGAATGGTCACTAAAGGCTTTTTCACATATATTACATGTATAAGGTTTTTCCCCAGTATGTATTCTCTGATGTTGGGCTAGTGCTGATTGGTCCCTGAAGGCTTTCTCACACAAACCACATCTGTAAGGTTTCTCTCCAGTGTGAATTTTCCGATGTCGTGCGAAGGATGAATTATCCCTGAAAGCTTTCCCACATTCATTACATTTATAAGGTTTCTCTCCAGTATGAATTCTCTGATGTTCAGTAAGAGAAGAGTTTACCCTGAAGGCCTTCCCACATTCGTTACATTCAAAGGGTTTCTCTCCAGTGTGAATTCTCTGATGCTGAAGAAAACTTGTACTCTGATTAAAGGCTTTCCCACATTCATTACATTTATAGGGTTTCTCTCCACTGTGGATATTCTGGTGTTTGGTAAGATGTGCCCTGCATACAAAGGCTTTTTCACAAATGTTACATTTAAAAGGTTTCTCTCCAGTATGTATTCTATGATGATGGGCAAGGTGTATATTTCGGATAAAAGCTTTTCCACATAAATTGCATTCAAAAGGCTTCTCTCCAGTATGAATTTTCTGATGGTAGGTAAGTGAGGAGCTCACTGAGAAGGCCTTGCCACATTCCTTACATTCATAGGGTTTCTCACCAGTGTGAATTCTTTGGTGATGGATAAGGTGCGTACTCTGGTGAAAGGCTTTCCCACATTCTCTACATTCATATCTTTTCTCTTTAATATGAATTTTCTGATTTGTTGTTTTTTCATTATGAATTTTCCGATGTTTATTAAGAGTTGAACTCTTAGAGAAGACTTTTCCACACTCACCACACTCAAAAGCTCTTTTGCTGGGTTGAAGTCCCTGGCTTTGAGCACTATGAAGAGATGAGCTCATAGTGCTCCCAGAATCATCACATTCCTGTTCACCGATCCCAGATGGGGTGTTTGGGTGAGTGAGTGCCGCTTGCTGCAAACTGATCCCCTGGCCTCCACATTGCCACTTGAACAGACTAGCACATTTCCAGTAACTACTGCTACCCAATCTTTCGTTTATTGTCCATTGATCCAATTCTTCTTCGGGAATCTGTGCCTTCAGAGTAGACATCTTACGGACAGGCATAGTCATCCAGTCTGAAAGACGTTAAAAATAAAAAGGTCCGTAGTAAAACATTTGCATGGGACAAGATGATAAGCCTGTTCATAATGCTAACAGAGAGTTGTACGCTTTTCTGTTAGTCCCTTCTTTTACCCTCTTTTCTGTCCTTTCTTACTGTTACTTCAGAAAATTTTCTGAAAGTATAACAGTAAGAAAGGACAGAAAAGAGGGGTAAAGAGGGGATGATGGCAGGGGTTGATCTAATGTGTAATACATGAGGCAGGAGAACTTGGAAGCATGATCTTAGAAGTCACAGGCCTCAGTTAGAATTGAGTACAACGCATATTTTCTTTGTGATAATAGAGAAGTTATCTTATTTCCTAAGCCTCAAAAAAAAAGAAAAAAGGAAAAAAAAACATAAAGACCACATAATGCTCACAGACAAGAAAAAAAGTACCCTGTCTGTTCAAAGAGATGGTTTTTAAAACAACTCAGGTGTGGCCTTAACAAGCTACTGAAAACAGCAGTCAACACTTGGTAGGAAGAAAACCTTGACTCCAGAGCAATTACTAAAATCAGGATATAGGCTCATTTGAGCATTCAGATGAATAATAAAAAGCTAGGCTGCTGTACAGGCTGTGTGAAATGCTCATATCTACTAAAAAAAAAAATAATAATAAGGACCTCCTATTGCTTGTGAGGAAACAATGTCTCCAAACCCATATGAATAATGTGACCCCTATAGGAGGAAAATGTGCCATGAGATATTTTGTGGCAAAGTTATCTCAGGATAAACATTGCAGCTGTAAGCACTGCCGGCAAGGTCATAGTAGACTTTCTCAGGGCAAACAGGAAAGGGGCTAAAATGTAATACTAAGGACTAGATTCTAAACACAGATGATGCAAAATTCATGAGAAATCCTAGAAAAGCCATCCTTATTACTTCCTTTCCCCACTTGCTCCAGAAAATCCTTAAAAGGCACTTTTCGTATTATTTTAGAATCAAAGAAACAAACCTCTTTACTTATCAAGAAAAGAAAGGTAAACAGGCACATTTCAAGACTAAAATCCTGTTGAGCTCAGAATTAATATATCCTTGTTCAAAACAAAGAACGGTCAAAGTTAAACATCAGCATTGCCAAATGTCAAAATGTTAAGGACTACTTTCACTTCTGGCCCAAATAGAGTAGCCTGTTGCAGACTAACATTTCTACAGAAAACAACAAGGAAATCTGAACTGAAAAAAGTTATCTGTCTGAAGGCATGAAATCACCCAGACAGACTTTATAGTCTAATATTTGGGAGAGAATGAAAATATAGAGAGGTGATCCTAATACTCAGTGGCTTGTTACTCAATTTACTGAATTCTTAAGCTTTACAGGACAAAAGACTAAAGTTAAGCAGATATCCAGAATTTTCTATAGTATTTTGGTACTACAGAAGCAGGACCTTCCAAGGAGGGGTCATAGTAGACATGTGAAGCTCTCAGCTGTGACTCCTGCAGGGCTACAACCTAGTAGTAGGGGCAAACGAACAGTTGACAAAGCTTTATAAACATTGTGACCAACCTCCAGCTATTACAGCCCTTTGGTTGGATGAAGAGGTTTGCTTACACTCTAGCTGCTAGCAGGGAATTTAAATCTTCTCTGGAGGAACAACATCTAGACCTTGGCTCTTCTTCACACATAGTGTCAGGGACTCAATAAAAGTCAGCTGTGCTAAGAAATTGAATGAAGGGGAAAAAAAACAGACAATAGAAAAAGAACTGCAGAACACAAATAACAGAGTTATCAGATGTGAACATTAAAACAGCCGGGATTAATATGTTCAAGGAAAGAGGAATGAGAATTACAAGAAAGAACTGGAACAGAAAAATCAAATTGAAATCCTAGAACTGAGAAATACAAAAACTGAAATTATGAATTCAGTAGATTTTTAACAAGATATCAAACACAGCAGAAGAAAGGAATAGTGAGCTACAAAAATACATAAGCAGAAAATATCCATAGTAAAACATGGCTAAAAAAATAAACATTTTTAAAAAGAGAGAGGTTGAAAAATGAACTCCGAGAAGCGCTATAAGCTCCAAGGATAACTACAAAGAAAATTCACCTAGGTACCTCACCTAGGCATACTGAAAGCCAAAGATTACCTTAAAGTTGCTTGAAAAAAAATTATACATTACCTTTGAAAAAGCATAAATAAGACTGGCAGTGTCTTCATGAAAACAATGGCACCCAGAAGACAATGAAGTAACATGTGAAGTGAAAGAACCTAACTGCCAAACTAGAATTCAACACACAGAGAAAATATCTCTAGAAAGTAAACATGAACTAGGTATTTCCATAAAAATAAAAACGGATTGTGTCACCAACAGATCTACATTAAAAGAAACACAGATGTGTTCCAGGCAGAAGAAAAATAATTCCACGTAGAAATATGAAAATGTAAGAAGGCATGAAAAGCAATGGAAAAGGTAAATATGTGGATAAAAATACTATTGATTATATGTGACAATAATTATAATGTCTTAATGAATTGCAAATATATGTGGAATTAAAATGTGTAGCAAAAATAAAAATAGGGGCCGGGCGCAGTGGCTCAAGCCTGTAATCCCAGCACTTTGGGAGGCCGAGGCGGGTGGATCACGAGGTCAAGAGATCGAGACCATCCTGGTCAACATGGTGAAACCCCGTCTCTACTAAAAATACAAAAAATCAGCTGGGCATGGTGGTGCGTGCCTGTAATCCCAGCTACTCAGGAGGCTGAGGCAGGAGAATTGCCTGAACCCAGGAGGTGGAGGTTGCGGTGAGCCGAGATCGCGCCATTGCACTCCAGCCTGGGCAACAAGAGTGAAACTCCGTCTCAAAAAAAAATAAATAAAAATAAAAAATAAAATAAAATAAAATAAAAATAAAAATAGAAGGATGAAAATGCTGTTAATTATTAAGGTAGTACCAATGTCTGGGAATTATTAAAAATAAAATTTTATTTTGAACAGTAATAAGCTGGTTTTACTTTTTAGCATTAACAATAAAGGACTAGGTAAAGAAGGTTAATTAACAAGGTAATACACAGTGAAAATGGCACAATAAAAATATGTAATACAATAGAAGGCAGGAAAAAAGACAAGGCATTCGAAGCAAGTAAATAAAATATAAAATAAATAATAGGATAGTAGATATAAAATCCCATACATAGTAGCTTAACTAAGTTATTTTTAAAAACTAAGATTGTGAGACTAGATAAACAATAAAACATAATTGAATATCACTTAGAAAAGAAATACCAAAAATGTAGATACTGAAATAATAAAAGAATTTAAAATGATATATCATACAAAAGAAAGGTGCTATATCCAGAGTAATATAAGAGCAATCACACAATATTTGAGAAAATAGACTTTAAGGTATTTTATATAGACAAAAGGGTTAATTCCCCAGGAACATACAACAAATTTTCATTTGTATGCACACAACGTAACTTTAAAAATGTATAAAGTAAAAATAGGGAAAACAAAAGGAAAAATAGACAAATCAATAATCATAGTGAGAAATGTTCATTTGGCACCCTCAATGACTCAGAAATCAAACCACTAAAAAAGGAAGGGGGCTGGCTGGGCATGGTGGCTCCTGCCTATAATCCTAGCACTTTGGGAGGCCGAGGCAGGCAAATCACCTGAGGTTGGAAGTTCGAGACCAGCCTGACCAACATGGTGAAACTAAAAATATAAAATTAGCTTGGCGTGGTGCTACATACCTGCAATCCCAGCTACTCAGGAGGCTGAGGCTGGAGAATCGCTTGAACCCTGGAGGCAGAGGTGCGGTGAGCCAAGATTGCAACATTGCACTTCAGCCTGGGCAAATAAGAGCAAAACTCCGTCTCAAAAAAAAAAAAAAAAAAAGAAAGAAAGAAAGAAAGAAAAAGAAAAGAAAGGAATGGAGGAATTGGCTGGGCATAGTGGCTCATTCTTGCAATCCCAGTACTTTGAGGGGCCAAGGCAGGAGAACTGCTTGAGTCTAGGAGTCCAAGACCCTGCCTGGGCATATGGTAAAACCTCATCTCTACAAAAAATTTTAAAAATCAGCCAGGCATGGTGACATGCTCCTGTAGTCCCAGCTACTCAGGAGGCTGAGGCAGGAGGACTGCCATGAGCCCAGGAGTTCAAGGTTCAAGTGGTGTGAACTATGATCACACCACTGCACTCCAGCCTAGGCAACAGAGCAAGAACTTGTCTTGGAAAAAAAAAAAAAAAAAAAGAAAGAAAAAGAAAAAAAATAAAGAAGAAAGAAAAAGAAAAGGAAATGATCTCAACAACCCAATAAACAGATTCGACCTCAAATTCTCAATTCTCCCCCATTAAGCTACACTTTCAGGCCAATTCCTATCCAAATTCCAGCAGGAATTTTGTGAAAATTGAATAGCCAACTCTAAAATTCTAAAAGAAAAGAAAAGAACAAAACTAGAGAATTTACATTGCCAAGTGTAAGGCTCATTATAATGCTAGAGTAATTAAAGCAATGTTGTGTTGGCACAAGATTAGATAGAATGAAACAGAACAGAGTCTGTACACAGAGTAGAAACAAATCTGTACACAAACGAACAATGGAACAAATTATAGAACCCAGAATCAGATTCAAGTACCTCATGCAGTCACCTCATGTATGACAAAGGTAACAGTGCAGTACAATGGGGAAAAGATGGTCTTTTTAGCAAATGATCCTGGGTCAACTGGATACCCATATAGAAAATAATGAATAATAAATCTTCCATATGGACTGTAGACCTAAGTATTTAAGACAAAATACTAGAGCTACTATAGGAAAACACAGGTCTTCATGGCCTTAAGATGTTCTAAATAGAACACAACAAGCATTCACAATAGGCAGAAAAAAAAAAAAAAAGACTTCTGATGAATTCAGGTATCTCAAAATTCAGAATTTCTATCTATCAAATGACATCATTATCCAGAGTGGGAAACAATATTTACAACGCATATATATGACAGAGGATTCTACATTTCAAGTATACAGCC